AGCGGTGCGGAATGAGAGACTTAGAGAGAATTTGGGTGGTCGAAATCCCAGAGTTTCTAGGACTTATGGAGATTCTGGAGTCTCTGAAATACAGGCTCAATCTGACCCCCTAGCGAGTATAAACACATCGATATATGTAACGGTATAGTATATTACTTTATAGTGGCCACAGGTGTCTCAGGCTCTCCCCCAGACACAAACACCAACCCAAGAGCCCAATTAATTTGCATATAAAGAGAGATAAGATCTGACATAATGAAAGTTAACCCTCCCCCCCGAAAAAAAAGAAGATGATTCAGAGGATCACAGGGAAAAATCTAAAAAAAGTGCTGATCATGATTTACACACACACACACACGATTTGATAGAAAAACAAAGAGTGGGTAAGTTTGTACAAACACGAAAATGAGACAAGGAAGTAGAAACCAAAACCAAAAACCATGGACTGCCTAGATGGAAAAAAAGGGAGAGGTGATCTGTGGAGAGAAGCGACATAAAAAAAAAAAAGACTACAATGGACAACTGATTCTTGTTTTGTTTCTCAATCGAATTAGATGATTTGCGAGAGTAAGTGACTGAAGCTTCATACTTGTTCTTGTCTTGGTTGTTTGTTGTCCACTACCCTCCTATACGCTTGAAAATCCTTCCAGAAAGATGAAATCTAATCTCTATATATGTATATATGTGTGTGTGATAGTTTGAGTTATTTAGTTGAAGGGATGGGACAAACAAAGGCTGAAACAGAGTGAAAGAAAGTACCGAAGATCAGAGAAATCATTAAATAAATAAATCAATAAATAAATCGATCCCTGGGTAAGAGTAAGCTAGAAATTCTGGATTAGTGAAAATGATCGGTACTTTGTCTAGTGATTTTTTTGCTTGCTTGATTTTTGTTTGTTTTATTTGCTTGTGTTTTTTTTGTTTTGTTTCAGTTGGATATGACTATCTAAAATGAAGCGATGAAAAAAGAAGATGCGCGAGTCAATAATCATCAGATATGAGAGCCGGGTTTTAGAATTTTGAGGCGGCTGTGTTGTAGGAGGTTGCGGTCGATTGTACCCAAGGAGTATGGCTACGAGACTCGGCGGCGATGTTTTGATGGGGTTCCATTGGTGATTTGGAAGATCTTTTCAATGCTTTCTCGGACGCGGGAGACACTACAAGGGGTACCAGATAAAAACAGTAAGGAAAACAGGTCACGACCAAATAAAATTGAAACCCTGCTTACTTGTATTCTATCAGAGTGCCCTGAGTGCGCATGATTTCTTCGTGTGTGATACAAACTAGAGTAAGAAACTGATTGATTTCGTAGTACGAGATCACGCGTCCGGGCTGTTCGATACCAGGCATCCCGATCCCGCGAGGCCCACCAAAGCTTGTATCGACCTTGACCTGGCTTGTGATCATCCGCTTACCCGCGAGGCTTGCGGGTTTTTTGTTCTGATCGACAGCGACCGAAGAGGACCGAGTAGCTGGGCTCAATACTGATGCCCTGCCACGACTGAGACTACGTTTGGTATGCGAACTGTCGGGGACTTGGCGGGTGGAAACCATCGGCGCATTCTTCCCTAATCCATTGGTCATCGAGGTAGGTCTTGTGACCGGGGAAATCTGCTGCGGGACTCCATAAAGTTCCGAAAGGTCGGTGAAGATGTCCATGAATTCAGTACACATTTCGAGAAGCGGCTTTTCTGTAGGTGAGGAATCCGTGGCGATATATAGCTTGGTCCAGGTGTCAAACTGTAGGATACAGCAGAAAAGGAACAATATACTGTCAGTCCTCGGATCGATTGATCTGTTAAAATACATCCGGTAATTGTTGAAAATCTCACGAGAATACAATTCTCTACTCCGCTCTGCTGGGCGAGAAGATTCATAAGATGTTCAAGAGCGGCCTGTTGAGGGACGATTTTCATAATCACTCGACTCAGAGCGTCGTAGATGGAGTAATCAAAAACGGTGGTGAGTTTGTAGGTTATCCGATGACTGAGTTCGATAGCAATCGTTGGAACACCATAGATCGATAGTTCTCGATCTGAGAGTTCGTCCGTCAAGCGGTCCTTAACTTGCTCAATAATTTCTACATCGTCCGAGTGAGTAGAGTCAGTCTAAATATAAACTTGACAGATAGATGCGAAGGATATGGGGGAGGCAAGAATTGGGAATGAAGTCGTCGTAAGAATTAGATAGGGAAGATTGTCCTTGGACGATGCGCGAAGGCTCGTAACTTCAAATACTTACCGCTTCGGTAGTCTGGGGTAACCGCATCAATCTTGTGCATGAAGATCTCAAAGTGCAGAGCTGGGTTGGTCTGGTATGCTTGTATGACGGTCGAAGCCAATTGTGGAATGGTACTGAGGTAACTAGACTTGAAGAACGAGATCGGAGGATGAGCATGAATTCTAATGCTATGTCAAGCTGTATGACTTGACATTAAGAGAATAAAAATCGTGAAGAAGCAACTGACTTGAGCATCGATCACAAAGATGACGGCCCCGACGTGTGCAAACGGCAAGGTTAGGACGTCTGAATCCAGTGGCCCAGGTAAGTCCCAAATTTCGAAATCGATAAAAGATCTGTGAAATGAAAACACCGAATTCCAATATGAGTAAAATGTTTATCAAGGAAGTCGGATACTACCCAGGTAAATTTACTTGATATCATCTTGGGTGATCCTTCTGGTTGTTTCGAGATGGAGGGTTTGATCTGGCTGGAGCTAAACAATACATACAGAGAAAATGGATCCAATTCAATTCCTGATAATTGTGAAATCTGGAGTAAAGACCACGTACCTTATGGAAGACAACCTCTCGAATTGAAGACTTGCCGCCACTTGGGGTACAAAAAATGGTACAACCAGTCAGCTTAGATTCTTTAATTCAGGCGTAAGACACACCAGATTAACTACACTCTACATACCTGCGTGGGCCCATGAAGAGTAGCTTTGGACGATCTGGACGCGAGCTTTCGGAGGGGGGAAGACCGAGTGGAGTAGGGGTAGTCTGGGTGGGCAATGAAGATATCGAGCCATCCATCCTGGAGGGGTGGTTATACTGGAGTATGAATATGTTGTTTCTCAACCCGAGAGCTTGATCTATGGATGTATGGAGTCGGAAAGCGGCAAGCAATCACCAGGTTCTGAGAGTTCAGCTTCGGTCAGGCGTCGGTCTTCCTTCGACTGTTGGGTCTGTTGCTTGTCGGTCTTGTTGGTTTCATTAATGATTTGTCTGTTTTGCTGGTGGTTCGGCGGTCGTTGAGCTCCAGACTTGCTCAGCTGCCCTCCCCCCAACCTTGGGCAGATCGATATACACACCTCTCGGGGATATCCGGGTAATCCCGACCGTCGACTGAACAATCTGCGACTTTCTTTGATCAGAATCTCAGATGATCAGGAGAATATGTAAATATCATGTACCCCATGCTACCCCAGGTATATCCTCACGGATATCCCCATCATCGATGTTTATTAAGCTTATTTTTCCAAGAAAGAGAAGTTTCCTCAATTCATGTTCTATGCAAAAAACACAGCAACAATGTAATTCAATTCTCGAAAGAGGGGCTTATCCTAAAAAGGAACCGATTGCGTATTCTCATTGGTTTGACATGATTAATTTCAGGGTTTCTTTTTTGAGTTCGAATTAAGAAAAGAGCAAGTAAATATGGAAAGGCTAAAACAATACAATTTAGAAGCGAACAAAGGATGAAGGAAATTGAAAGTTATGTATATAGGAAGAATGGAGCAAGATTAAGCGCCGAATCCATAGAGTGTTCGGCCTTGCCGTTTGAGGGCGTAGACGACATCGAGTGAAGTCACTGTTTTCCGCTTGGCATGTTCGGTGTAAGTGACCGAGTCACGAATGACATTCTCGAGGAAGATCTGGAAGGTCAACCATCGAGTCAGCTGACCAGCGCTTTATGCAGAGAAGTGAGAAAGAGAAATCGACTGACTTTCAGTACTCCTCGGGTCTCCTCATAGATCAGTCCAGAGATTCGCTTGACTCCTCCTCTTCGAGCAAGTCTTCGGATCGCAGGCTTGGTGATACCTTGGATGTTATCTCTCAGGATCTTACGGTGACCTGTTTTGGGAGAATGTGTCAGTCAAGGTAAAAGTGCAATGATGGTGAGCGAGCGACTGACGTTTGGCACCGCCCTTTCCGAGACCTTTGCCACCGCTTTTACCGCGTCCAGACATGATGATAGTTGTTGTTGGTGAGGTGGGTTGAAGTTGTGAATGGGGTTGGAGGTGGTTGGAAGGTGGATGTGATGGTTGGATTGGATGAAGGAGAACAGTGGATTGGGGTGGCAGGGCTGGTTTATATAGGGGTTCCGGCTTCCGAGTGGCAGAAAATTGCAAGTGCCCTTCTTGCCGAGGGGGGAGCCAGCCGGCCAACCACTTTCGGTTGACAGGGATGCGCAGGAAAGATGCAAGTTGGCAAGCCTCGGTCCTCGCTCGAATGCTGGCACCCTATTGGTCAGAATCCTGCCGACCCAAATCCATCGGTTTCCGCGCCGAACTGGCCTCGTCGGTCACCCATCCCACGTGTTGCATCATCAACTCCCGGTGATACGATCACACGCGTCCTCCCGTCTCTCCGACGGGTATAAAACCAGCTCCGGTGATAGCCAACAACTTCTTTCCCATCTTCATCCACAAGCTCACTGCAATTCCCAACAACAAGCTCCCCTCAAGACCACCCACCACACTCTCCAACTTTTCCAAAACAAACCCCAGCAATGGCCCGCACCAAACAAACTGCCCGAAAGTCAACCGGTGGCAAAGCCCCTCGAAAACAACTTGCCGCCAAGGCTGCCCGAAAATCAGCACCTTCCACCGGAGGCGTCAAGAAACCCCACCGATACCGGTCAGTCTTTCCGTCTCGTCTCCCATTTCGCAACATCCCACTTCATCCCACTGCTCACACGTTCTAACTCTCTGCATTTTGGCACTATTCTTTTTGTAGTCCTGGGACTGTAGCTCTTCGTGAAATTCGTCGATACCAAAAATCCACCGAACTCCTCATCCGAAAATTACCGTCAGTCATTGTCGGCCTGATTGTTCCTTCCATCTTCGCTTTTCACGAATCCTGACAGGTTGCATATTCTTTTGGTTGGTTGACATACATACACATATATTCATAGTTTCCAACGCCTGGTGCGTGAGATCGCCCAAGACTTCAAGACCGACTTGCGATTCCAGTCCTCTGCGGTCATGGCACTCCAGGAGTCAGCCGAGGCCTACCTTGTCGGGTAAGCTAACATTGAGCCCATTCACTTCAAACATATCACTTGAAATTGACGATCAAATATCTAATTGTAGATTGTTTGAGGACACCAACTTGGCCGCTATCCATGCCAAACGGGTCACCATTCAACCCAAGGATATCCAACTGGCGCGCAGATTGAGAGGAGAACGATCCTAGTCAAAGAATCCTTCTACACCTCGAAAACTTCATTTATTTACATATCTCTTTTCATTCTTCGTCTTCTGTTTCATTAGAATCTTGTACTACAACCTTCTTGCGTAATTTTCTACAACTATACAAGTGTTTCATCTTTGTGCGTGAATGACAGTCTCTGATGAGTCACATAAAAACATGAGTCGAGAGGGGGACGTGCAAGATGTGAGATTTAATAGAAAGACAAGTCCAGCACATTTGGTCCAAGAAACTCGCCAAAAGCCACGGCTCCAAAAAGGAAGCTCGCCAAAAGCCACGGCTCCAAAAAGAAAGCCCTGGGATGAGCCCCGTATGTGCGTTGTAGGGGAGTCGAACCCCTGACGAGGCCACACGCACGATGGCAAGGCCCCAGTTTACCGCTAGCCTAACAACGCCATGCTCCCGGCAGCTGCGGCACAGCACCGATCGCGATCGGCAGGTTTCCCGAGGTCATCAAGACAACCTTCATCGGGGAAATACAAGCTGCTGTCGGGTCTGGCTCAAACACTGAAGACTCGATAAGAGAAGATTAAGAAACACAACCCCAACACCGACCAAACCGAATCGAATCTCTTTCGCAGACTTGAGAAAACATTCTGGACGACCCCGGATACATAAGTAGTAGCTTGAGATAGAAGTTTATAAATCCAACGATTCAACACGAACGACATCTTCATCGACCGCCTGCGAAACTCTGTGATTGGAACCTCGTCTCTGAACTACATAAAACAGTTAACAGGAGATAGATCAAGTAGACGTCATGACGGCTGGACCGACCGAGACCGAAGCACGAGGGACAGAGGCGGGCAAGAGCGGGACGACGAGCGATGGATCGCCGAGCGCCGGGAGGAGGGAGCGGAAGCGTGGGACCAAGATGAGCGAGGAGCTTGCCCGTTTCCGGCCGCGACCGAGCACGATCCTAGTTTCCTTACTAGCGCTACGATATGGCCGGCCGGGCCCGAGCCGAGGCGCGCCCCGACGCCTGCTCCATTGGTTCGCCCTCTGGCTCGCCGTCGTCAACTGGCGCATCCTCCCGTTCTATTGGCACGCGATGACCCTCCTCTTTCCTATCCTTAAGGCTAAACTCCGCCGCTGGAAACTCGGCTCGTCTACCCCCGCCTTCGTCGCTAACTTGCATGTCTTGGGTAAAAGCCCCTTCCAGGCTCGCATCGTCTCTAAACATTGCGCTACTTGGAATACCTGTCAGTCCCGCGTCCATGTTCACACCCAAATTTTCTATATATATATAAAAAAAAAAGAAAAGAAAGGAAATGTCTGTCAGGTTAAAAGAAGAAAGCCCAATCTGATGGAATTTCCTTCCAAAACAGGTGATTTTATGTTCCACATGTCCAACTCGGCCTATGCGATTGCCCTGGACGAAGCGCGAGCGATATGGCAGATCCAGATGATCGGGGCTGCCATGCGAGCGGACCACGAGCGAGTGCGGCCGATGATCGCCTCGACTCATTTCACCTACTTCGCCGAGATCCCCGTAAGAGATTTCTCATCCTTATCCTCTTCGTGAGGCTATCTCATCATTGGGGCCCACTGATCTGCATTTTGAATCCTTCTTCGTCTTTGTGTGTATATACAGATCTTGGCCGACTTTGAAGTCGAGTTCCGCCCGGTTGCGTGGGACCACAAATGGGTGACTATCCTGCTCCTCCTTCCTGTGCCCCACACACGGCTTGATATCTGATCCTTCCGCTGTCCGTCCTCCTCGTTCAGCTATACCTGTTGGCGACATTCACCACCGACCCTCCCAAAGGCTCTCGAACCCGGCCTCTCAATGTGAGTCTTTCTTTTTTTTCTTCTCTCTTTCGCGTTTGGGGATATGTGGGATGGAGATGGTGTCTAACAGATCCATCACGACCGGCGCCAGTGCTTATCGATCACCCGGATGGTCAACAAGATCGGCCGACGGACGGTGCGTCCGGAGAAACTGATGGCCCTCAGCGGGCTAGGCATGGACCCCTCGGAATGGGAGACGCTCTCCCGGCTAAGGACACCCGACCCCGCCACCCGCCATCCAGCTCCATCATCCAACACCTCTCACCTTAACCCCGCCCAGGAATGGCTCGTCAGCTCCGACCCCTTCGAGCCGTTCCAAAAGTACGAAGCCCTTCGGACCAGAAACCTCGAGATCATTCGCGCTGGGTTGGATGGCGATCTTAAGATCGGCGCCGAACGATTAAAAGAATTGTAGCATACATACACATAGAGATTTTCAAGATTCATCTTCTCCAGCATTCATTTGTCTTGTATTTGTCTTTCTCCTTTCTCCTACTCGTGAGTTCTTCTTGCATACGGTTCCCGATGAGTTAGATTTTTTTTTTTTTCCTTCCTAGAGCTTTGGATTTTCTTTGTTATTTCGAGTTGGTAGTATATAGACTGAATGAATGAATATAAGGTATAGATGTCTATCGACAAGCAATTCACTCAAATCTTCACACACTGTCCTGATCAAGGACCCATAATTTACGAAGCTGCATGGAGCATACTTCCAGATAATATAGGGGCCGACTAAAATGCCAAATCAAATCAAAAAAAAAAAAAAAAAAAAAAAAAAAAAAAAACATAGCCAGACGCATAAGTCATAACACACACATCATCAACAACAACAACAAAAGATGAGCGAAAAAGATATACACAAGAAAATGGCTCGAACGTCTAGATAACTACTGAAATCAATGACAATAAGAAAAAGATAAAATATCATTCAGAAGGTCAGATTCAGATCAAGAGAGAGAGAGAGAGAGATAAGTGATGGGATGCCTAAACTGATACCATAGAAGAGATAAGAGATATAAGTAATGCATGTACAACGATGTCCAACTTGTAGAAATTCAGAGGGTATATTGAGATGAGAGAGCATGTATGTATCGAGAAAAAAACAAGATGCTAGAGAAGAGGGGAGATGAGTTGCCAAGGGTATGAATTCGGAGTCAGAGAGGACCAACAGGGGAGGAAGGAAAGGGTCACATCATGAGTCTGATGGAGGACCTATTGAGGGAGGGCAGATTCGAGGGATGGCCGGGGTTGGAGGAGGAGTGGGACCAGAGCAAGTTGAGCACGTCGGGCTCGGCTGAGACGGCCCGGGTGACGGCAGCCTTCTTCTGGTTGAGTTCCGATCCTGAGCACTGCCGCTTGATCAGTCCCTCTGAGTCGGGGCCCCCTTCTCGAGTCCTTCTCTTCTTCTTCTCTTCTTCTTCTTCTTGTTCTGCTTCTTTCGCCGCCCATGATGCTACTTTTCAATAAACGGTCCGTTCATATATCATACATACAAAATAGCAAACCATTGGATCAATGTCCAATAAGGTCAGCTGATCATCTATCTATCTAGTAAAACAAATCGAAAAGGATACAATAAATCTATGTGTGTTATGTTGGCATGAAGAATGGATTTTTGGTTGTTGGTTGTTTAGTATCTATAGAAACGCATGAAAGAGCTGTATATTGTACTTTTTTTTGTTTGGTGGTGGAGGGTAAGAGTGTACAGAATGAATTTTACAAGAAGAGACTCGGGAATGTTTGCGAACGGAATTGAGAGAGGGGTGCGTGATGCTCATAACGATATTGACAAGGACGAAGGTACTCACTGATACAAAACGAAACAGATAAGATAGGGAGAGAGAGAGACAGAGAGAGAAAGATGAGGAGGAAGAGAAAGGAAGAAGAAGAAGGATCAGAATGGGGCCATGTACAAACCTCGTTTGGATCTACGACTAGCGAGAACTTTGAAGACTTCTTTGCGGGCTGCCTTGAAGTCGGCGATCCAGGCGGCGCAAGCGCGATGACCGTCGGGAGTTTTGAGGGTGAAGGTTTCAGAGTTATGGACGATCACCAGACTGTGGTCGTCCTTTCCGACCAACAACTGAGACTCCTCGAGGGCCATCGGGGCCCGATACATCACCAGCTGACCCTGGCTCCGTCGCCCCGGACTGCTCTCCAATAATCCCGTCGCCGTCGTCGTCTTGGCGAGCAGGAAGAAGTCGTTGAACAGATACGCCCGAAAGGTCTTGCGGGACCGGGCCTTCGTCAGGATTCCCTCCCTGATCAGCCGTCGTCGTCCAACAAACCGGGTCATCGTTGCTAGGTTCAATTTCTACACAAATACACACACACATTAATCCGGTAAGAGATATCGTGAGTATCGATGTCTTGCTTCGAGCTACATAATAAAGCAAATTAAGATGTAACAGTCGATGGGAGAGAAAGGGAACATACAGCATCACTGCCTGGGATCGTCAATTGTTCTGATAAAGTGACCAGCACGATTTCGTTTTCTTGTTCCCCGATGGTTTTGTTAGTCGTAGTGAGGACCTCTTGAACTTTCTTTAAGGCATTTGCTAACCGATTGTAGTCAGAGGAGCCTTCATCGGTGTACTTCATGATCTGAATATCAGAAAAGGGCCACGTAGATTAGAACCCCCAGTAGATGATAAGCGAAGATGTACATAGATGTAAATGATGACTCACCTGACTGATCAGCAGAGGGTACCGAGTTAGTCTCTGCATAGGCTGAAGCAAGTAATGCTCGAGTTCGAGGCCCTTGACCCTGATGCCATTCAAGCGATTAGCGATGGAGGGTTTAAGTTTCAAGTGGGAGAGGATGCGGGAGGCATTAGCCTGATTGCTGCAATAAGGTCTAAAGACGTCCACGCCCTGCATGTAATCAAGGACGATGTCGCCGACGGCCTGGACCAGGGAACCCGACTCGACTTGGCGCCGCTCCAAGGCGCTCAGGAAGGTCGTCCCAAACAACATGATCTCCTCAATGTTCGCAAACACGATCGTCGCCGCTCGCACCCCGATCATCGGCTCCAAGCTCCGGTAAAACACCTGCGATAGGATCTGGCAGTTCTCAACAAATGTCGCCTCGGTCTTGATCAACTCATGGATCGCTTCCTGTCGATTCTTCTCTTTCTCTGGATAGAGTGACAAGGTTTTTGGATTCATCATACTCGACCATGTTGACTTTTGTTCCATAGAATGCATTATAGTTAGTACCAGGCTTGAGGTGAGATGCGGAAGAGGAAGGGATGATGTGCGCTCACGTTTCCAGGACGGCCATTTGCTTGAGGGGAAGGCGTGGTGGAAGGAGTGATGATGTTGTTAGCTGTGGAGGGACGGCGAGGCTGGGGATGATGATCATCGACTGGATGGATAGGACCACTGATAGAGGGACGGGGGGAGTGATTCCCGAAAGGAGTGCAACCCCCGCCGGTAGAGGACTGGCGCCTGTCAGGCATCCATGTGTTAGCCGACGTCGAAGGGTTGGTCGCAGCGGAGACGGATTTTGACATCCCAGAGAGCCAGGAGCGGAAGCCACTGCTAGCTGATGGGAGAGACGAGCCTGAACTGGAAGGCCTGTGTCGTGAGCTGCAGCGGAATCCTTGGGAGCGAGGTGACTTGAGTTGTTCGGAACTCGGCCGGTTTCCTGATACTGTTTGGGATGTATTTCTGTTCCGGCTGGTCTGCTGAGTCGACGAAGAGACTGATAACCCAGCTGAGCAAGGCAAGTCACGTTGGCTAAAAAGAAGTGACCAACGTCAGACTATGTTTGGGCTTAAGGTATGTGTAAGCTTTTTCAATTTGCACGCACATATTCAAGTATCTTGCAAAGGCGGCTTCCATCTTTGATAGTGGATCATCGTTATCCGACTCGCAGTCACGGGCAGTTGAAGTGGATGGTGTTCGAGACCTGGTAGTCGTGGGCTGTTGAGGGTCTGTGTCGACAGGCACTGTTGGAAGGAAGGGGATGGAGAGTGATGAGGTTAGATCGGGCGGCAGCGGGGGTAATTTCTGCTGTCGATGGGTGATAGGCCGTTGGACGAGGCCGGCAGCGGCTAAGAGTTGGAGGCGGTCTGGGTTGGCAGCTATCATCTGGTGCTCTTCGCTGTCTGAATCCGAGGCAGGTTCTTGGGAGGGTCGTGGGGAATCCATGGAGGGCTGCTTGGAGTTCTGCTCGGGTGGCTCTGGGTCGATGGTAGCCGACATGCTAGGAAAGGGAGTGTGGTGGACGAGAGATGCTGGTGATGATATGGTGGATGCAGCAGTCTGCGGCTGGTGGTGGAGTGTGGTGGTAGTAGTAGTAGTAGTAGTGCTGGACTGGCTGGGCGGTGTCAGGAGGAGGGGTGGGGGTGGGGGTGGGCGGTGAGGAGGTTGATAAGTGTTGGCGTGGTGGGTGATACTGCCGAGAATCGACGACTGCT